ACGGCCTTTGCCCAATCCTTTAAAGCCTTCATCGATGGATCATTTTTACGTCTTCCTATTATGCAAGTTAAAAATTCATACATGTAGACATGACTCGGTAGATTCTGGTATCCATAAATTGATAAGTTTTTAAGTTGAAATCTTTGGAAGTATGGTTATTATTATTTTTTAAATATATTTTTATAAATTAAAGTAATATTTTTTTATTTTTTAAAAATTATTTTTGATATTAGTATATTAAAATTATCTAAAAACATTAAAAAAAGTATTAAATTGAAACAAAGAAAAAATTTAAAAAATATTTTTTAAATGAAAAAACAAACAGTCCAATATAGAAATTAAAACAATGTGTCATCTTATTGGTTTTTTATGTAAAGAGCCAGTGAGAAGTCAGAAAGAAACTTTCCATCATTTGTACTTATCATCTAGATTTGTAGAGTGAACATTTAAGGTTTGGAAAACAAGATAGAAGTTGTTACAAAAGATGTCTAAGAATCCATTTTTTATGCATCGATGTTTTTTATGCTGACTTTTCTATCCTACTTCGTGAGCTTATCAACAAAATAATGAGACTAGACCTTAGACCTCATCTTGTTTTGTGGCACGTCAAAAATAAAATAAAATAAATAATTAAAGAGAATAAAAAAAATGACTTGATAAAATAGAAAACCACGAAAAGCCCCGTTCTTGGAGCCAAATTGATCCCGAGTCCTATGTCTATCTGGACTCAAACTTACATGATAGCATAAGATTTCATGTTGTTGGTAAATCAAGCATGCAAAGAAGACGAATCACGAATGGACACGACCGCATGAAAAATTAAAATTAACCAACTAGACTCCATGTGGTCAGTGATATATTAATTTTCTTGGTTTATTTTAATCCTAGCTAGAAGAAAAGGCCAGCATATTACCAGTTTTGTTGCTGATCAAATAGTTTCTCAGGGTTTTTGTATCGAAAACAAAGGTGAATTGCATAATATCACCCTAAAACCCATAGCCATTAAGAAAATAATAAATAGAAACCTAAATATTACCTGCCCATAGATCATAAATCTTACACGCAAAAATTATAAAATTTAATTTAGAATCCTCTTGATACGTTAGACAAACTTGGGATTTCAATTTCACAATCCATTTAATTTTGGTTAGATAATTCATCCAATTTTCATGCAAACCACGTCAGGGGAGGGAGGGGGAGAGAGATCGAGATCCATGCATCACAAGAAAATAGAAGTGAAAAGGGAGAGAATTGTCGAGTAAAACGTGGATGGTGCAAAACCATCATAATTTTTTTTTTTTTAATCTTATATGCTCATAGTAATCCAAACTAATTGATGTTCACCAAGCGGGTGCCTGGATGGGATATCATTCTTTTCTAGAAAAGAAGGAGAAGGGCACTCCAAGTCCTCCTTTATCGTTCAAAGAATATAAAAAAAATCACCGATAATTTACTAGTTTCAAATTAGCGTCGTATTTCTTCATTTCCAAGGCAACTCATTAGATTCACTGAATTCTTATCTATATATCACATGTAAATTATAATATATTAGGTACGGCCAACCCATAAAAAATTGCAGTTCGCTAACACGATTGTTCTTTTTGTTTCAGTAATTTGCGGCCAGATTAGCATGCAATGAACCCTCATCAGCTTTTGATTTAAACCCATTTTAACGTGCGGCTTTAGCGCATTGTTCTATTAATTAATAAACACACTTTTGGGCCTTCATTGCCTTCAAAGTGCAATGGATTTTTTAAAAGATGGTGAGAGAGAGAGAATAATTATGGAAAAACTTGGTCAAAATTATATGTTAATCATGATTAAGGAAGTGAATTTCATTACGCTTCCTGATTAGTTTCACATTGATTTCCATATGACAGGTTTCGCGGATGCATGGCGTTCACATTGTCAGAGTTTTTTGTGGGAAGGGAGGCTCAACGAGATTTTTGTGTACAACTTAACGATAGTATAGTAACACCATCTAAATGAATCCCATTTCACCTCATTTTGATTTTTAGACTTCAAATTTCCTTTAATCGTTCGGACTCGTAACCTCTTCCTACGAAAAAGGGTACGAGGGATAATGAAATTAATTTTCCTGGTGTTTGATTTCACATTGTAACAATAAGATCCATATTTTTTTGCTCTTCATACCCAAGTTCAAATTTAGCCCAGAAATAAGAACCCAACATAACCTGTGTATTTAAAAAGCATGTTACCTATCATGCTGTGGTTTAGTGGCGTTGGTGTAGCTCTCCTTCCTTCGAATTTCAGTTCGAGTTCCAGTGGGAGTGGGGCTGGAGAGCTGTTTCTTTTGTGTCTCTACTGGGTCTTCTCTCTGTGGTACGCATGTCACCCCCGCGGTGCCTTACCTGTTTACTAGGCTTGCAGGATGTTCAGTGGACCGTGGGATTAGTCGTGGTGTGCGCAAACTGGTCCGGACACCCACGTTAATAAAAAAAAAACAAGCATGTTGCCAGATGATTGGTTTTTTCTTTTCTTTTCTTCTCTTCTCTTTGCCTCTCCCCCTGTCGTGACTTACCTCTCTTGCATACAAAGGATTTCAGTTTTAAACTTAATCTTACTTTCAAGAAGGGTTGAAAAAACATGTTAATATCTCGCCTCTCCTTGTTTTTTATTAGGAGATTAATAATTGAAGGATTAAAAAAGTGTTTAAAGCTTTTTATGATTTCACAATCAAATGATTTTAAAGTTTTAATTTTAAAATGGAATAATTAAATGTCTAGAATTTTAGATTTTAAAGAATAAATTATTGTTTCGAGGGTTTTGTAAAATTCCAGACTCGTAGATCAAGATTATAAAAATTCTAATTAATTAGCTAACTAGTTAGCTTGTTATTAGTAGTGAACTAATTGGTATAAATTTACAGATTAGGATTCTAAAAATTCCAATTAACAGGTTAACCGCTTAACTTGTTATTGCTAGTCGACCGATTGGTATAAATCGATTGACTAATTGGATTGTGGTGGTGGTCAATTTGTTAGTCATTTCAACTAACTGATTGACCTAATAATAGAGATTAATCGAGTCTGTTAAGTTTGATTAATTTGTGTTATGTTTGAGATTGATCGAGTAAATCAATTCGGATTTATAATTACATTTTGGTCCTTGAACTTAGAGTTTTATTCTTTTATGTTATTGATTGAAGTTGTTTTGTAATGTTTTTCGTATTTGTTATAAGTTCCATATTCATTTGTCTTTTGCTATTATTTTTTAGGTAAGTGATATAATTTTTAATATGCAAATAACATGAATAAGTTATGTATGCTGATTACATGATGAATATGAATGTTATTCTTTATATATATCGGACTTGTCAATAACTCCATGATAATACAATGTAGTTAATCTATATACATATAATATTTTGTATATCTAGTTGGCAAGAGAGATGTCCTCCCACAATAATTGGGGCCGCAAACCCTGTTTGTTATTGGAACTTTAGGATTTTATTTATTATCGGAGCTAATGGTTTAGTTTGATCATTGATATTTATTTTGCTATTATTTTCTATTTTGCTTAATGCATGTACACACATAAGTTTCAGTTTATATATTTATAAATAGCTAAAATTTAAATAAAATATTATCTTTTTACTAAGTTGATTGAATTTTTTATTTTATTTTAATATTATTTTTAGATTCTTAGTTTCTGTTTGTTAGCTAGTAGACTTTATTAAAAGTTAGTGTTTTTTATTTCTGGTTAGGATATTTTGCTTGCTTTCATGAGGTTTTTTTTATAGATTTGTTTTAATATTTTAAAGTACTTTATTATTACATTGTTTTATTTAAAATTTAAATTTCATGTAATGTAACACATATTATGAATTCTTATTTTGTTTTTATCTGAAATATTTTAAAAATTTATAAAATGTTGTGTGATTTTATATAATTTATTCTATAAGATGTATATTCTAAGGATTAATATATGTGTGGTGCCGTTTACTGTATTGTTATTGTGGTTGGGATCCTGCGACGTAAACAGTGATGAAGTTAGAGAAATATAATAAGAAGAGAATCACAGGCTCCGCCAACTCTAGCTGGCAAGCTCGTTGCCCCTGCGCATGTTTTGGACTTTTGAGCTCCGCTTCCGTCAAAAGATTACAGAATCCTGCGCACAACACATTTTCCTCGCAAATCATTTTTTCCGTAATTTTTTTTTTGTGAGATCTCAGAAATCAACCACTACAACTGCTAAGTTCCCGAACTCGATTTTTTTTCTTTAATTTTTCATGAGAACAATATTAAAATCATCCTGTCAATTAAAAAATTTATTTTCAATCTTAAATTTATTTTATTTTATATTTTAATAACTAAAATAAAATAAAATTTTAAAACTCAATTTTAGATTAACATAAACATAGTTTTCAAACCTGTCATCCTTACCAATCTAATCTAAGTTTTAAGTTTTGACCGAGTTATCGTGCCTTTCGAGTTAGAGTTTTAAGTTTTGACCGAGTTATCAGGTCTTTCGAGTTAATTTTTTTAATTAAAATAATATTATTTTAATAATGTTATTTTAACTGAGTCTTCCTAGGTCAAACAAGTTACCAGGATAGGTCAAACAAGTTACCAAGTTATATCAGATTTTTTTCTCTATTTTTTCACCAATTCAGTCTATCAAATCCCAGGTCAATCCACCAGGCTGAACTGAATTTCAAAACTATATCTATATCCATTACCATTCATGTTCTAATTGGAACATCTCATTCAATTTAAGTATGTTTATTTATGTGATAATATCACAATTAAAATTGTAATTACGATGAAAAAATATTTTTTATTTTTTTGTATTTTCATTCTAATCATAGTTTAAAATGGGTCATACTAAGTAGGCAAACATAGATTTACCATTGTTGATATTGCCAAGTCGGTGGCAACAATTCCCATTGCATTGTTACCAGCCACTCTTGACAATTCAGTTCTTGGTGTCCGAATCAGTTCTAAACATATAATAGAAAAGCAATTTGAAACGAAAACAAGAGCAAAGATCCATCCATTACGATTATATCATTCCATTAGGTAAGTAAACAAGCAAAAGTAAAAAAAAAAACATAACATACACGATTTAGTAGATAAAAGAAAAAACATATAATGAACCAGAAAAGAGTAAGTTTTCAAAATTATGTGCCGCTTGCATTCTTAATTCACTTTCCGCTTTTGGTTGGGGCTCCTTCCAATCCATTTCTTATTGATTATGCTTGATTCTGTTTTTGAACGCTGCCATGCCCATAAATGAACCTGGCTGTCCCCTCCGTGTAGACATGAGTTTCATTGTCAAGTCTGCCGACAAGTAATGCTCCATGTAATTAGTCAGTGCTTAATTATAAAAGAAAAAGGTAGGAGGAGCAGAATGACACATGTGGGCCTTACGATTTTCGAACTGCTTTGCTTAAAGTTGAGGCTGATGAAAATGTTTTACCGTCAAGATATCTGTTTTCCCCTTGAACTCTCTGTTTGATTCTGCTGTCTAACTCATCGGCACTCAGCGTCAATGGAGTATCTGAAGCCTGCCAGCAATCATTACAACAGTGACTGAACTATCATGGGAAAGACAAATTGCGTAGTCCTGATTATTAAAGGCCTAAAAAAGTTTGTAGCAGGTAAATTTGCTGGGAACTAAAGTAAGTGCTAATACTATGTAATTCAAGTGATCAGCCTAAGACTACAGGAATATTTCAGAAGACCGGAAAGTGGTGAATTTGTTTTAAAAGCAGAAACTGTGTTTGGTATAATACCATGACCCATCCCCAAGTATCAGCAAAGGAAGGGATATGAGCTGAATAAGGCACCACATCTGCACATAGGAAAAAAAAATAAATTGGCCAGGCCATTTGGTTTCAGTTTTCTTGGTTTATGAAAAAGAAACAAAATGTTGGCAGCTACAAAAATTTTACTTACATTTGAACACCTGCTTCAAAGTGTTGCAGATACAAGAGAACACTTCCGTATGGCTGAAAATTCCAGCTGGCCCTGCCTGAAAAGTTCACAAGATATATATGGTTATTTCTTGTATTCTCCCTCTTCCCCTCCATCTCTCTCTTTTCCATCAGCAGAGACAAATAATCGATACCTGAGTGACAAATATGCCACCGCGATTGAGTTTAGGCTTGACGGTGTGTTCATAGAAGGATTTGGTGTAAAGTTTGTAACATGGACCTCCCTCGATTGGGTCTGCGAGGTCTCCTATGATCACATCATAGCACTCCTTTCCAATTTCTAGCTCAGCTCTGCAACATTTCACAACATGCAAGGACGATCGAGAAGAAACGAAATTAATAATGATATAAGTAGCGTTTTTTTTCTTACAATAATGATAATAAAAATAACTCAAACATAGAATTGAGAGTCAAACCTGGCGTCGTTGATGATGACCTCAAGTCTTGGATCACAGAAAGCTTCTCTATTCACAGCCAAGTACGCCTTGCAGAAGTCTACCACTTCCTGGTTACATGATATAGATTCGTGTTATGAGCTTTAAAATTTTCCTGTCCATTTCCTTACATTACATGGCACAGAAAAATCAGTGATCTTTGATCACAAATGGCTTATAATTGATTTTTTAAATTTTTTGTTGAACAGGGATTTTCTTTAATACACTGCAATTAGTGGTTAAGAGAAGGGAGAGTCCTGTGTTCACTGGCCGTGAACCCGAACGATTTGCCCATTTCCCCAACGTGGCTGCACGACAAGTCATTATCAATGATGGGACATCTTCGATTAAGAACAAAAAGGATGAAAAATGAGATGCCAAAAAGAAATAAAAGGTACACAAATGAAAATGTCTTTCCATTTCGTAAATAACGAAAACATAATAATGATAAATAGTCATTTTCTTTAAAAGTTTTTTTTTTTTTTTGATAAACTAAGCCAACAATATAATGTTATCCCCTCTATATGTGGGACCCAGAAATAAAAGGGTCAACGGTCAAAGAAATGTAATACCGATAATTTGGATTCATCAAATTAAAGGGTGGCTGAATGGACACAAGTTAGCTCAGTAAAATATTCCTCGTATTTCAAGTAGAAAATTTAATATATATACATTTGAGTTACCTCATCGATGTCACACATGACAACCTTCACCGCTGTTTTGTGTCTTAGTATTTCTCTTGCAGTGGAACCTTCACCTCCTCCCATTATAAAGACTGTCTTTGGACTGCAACCAAGCGTACAGTTGCTACAAATTGAGCACCACAACACAGGACTTCACAATCCTCCATACCAACAAAGAAAATAAAAAAGTAAATACCTTGAGTGATGAAGAAGTGCTGGATGAACAAGAGATTCATGGTAGATGAACTCATCCACTTCTGCACTTTGAAGCTTTCCATCAATGATTAAAGCCTGTTATGCAAACAAAAATAATTTTATCTTACGCGAGAATATTATTTAATTAAGGCGTTTGTGTGTGAGTGTAGCGTTATTTTTTCTTAAAAGTGGAAGTCTTTTTTTAATTTTTTTAAAAACGGACCTTTCCAAACGGCTTTGTGTCTAATAGTGCAATGTCTTGATACCGAGAAGCCCCTGTATGCAAAATACTGCAACAAAAATAAAGATAGATGGTCAATGCTCGAACATGTGAAATGAATCAATAATGAAAGGGGAGACTTAGCGGCAAAGATGGTAAGTTTGTTCCATTTTTTAAATAAATTATGTCTCGCTTTTCTCAAACCACCCTTTTGAACAAGTGATCTTCTAATTAACTGTTTCACTTTAAGGTTACTTCATGTTTTATTCTAATAAACAATCACTATATATAAGCAATTAGAAAAGGAAAAAGCTCCATACAGAACGACAAGGTTGTAAAGCGTCGAAGCTTAAAGGTGATCCACCAAATCCATGAAACGACAATAGGGTACATGTCAGAGTATACTTTCTACGATAGATACATATTATATCTGCAAATCGTCTTTTAGCCTAGTAGCTTGGTGAATCAGATTCGAGTAATTTTAATTTTCTTTTCTGTTATGTGACGACGGATTACTGCTGTCATTATATATATACCAAAGCCGTTTAGACCTTAACCCCCAAAAAAAAAAAAAAAAATCACCAGTACTATTCTATAATTTTACTTTGTCTCAATAACAGATGCAGATTAATTCTTTTTCTATTCGTATGCAGGAAGCTTTGCTTCTGATGCTGTCTCGAGAATTCTGTCGTAAACTTCGTAGAAATAAAACATTTTTCACCGAAAACCCGGCATTAAATGAGAGAGAAGAAGCGATTAAAAGAAGCTGGTGCTTTTTTCCCGTAATATATTAAAGGAGAGGGTATCCCTCGAGCTTGAATCACGGCGGTCTAGAGCATGCAGGGTAGGTATTTTAGTACAGCGATACGCATTCTTATATATAGAAAAGGAAATGAGTTTGCCCTTCGAGTTAATAGCATAAGAATTTTATCCTCTGGAGAATTTAAGATAAAAAGAGAGAAGGTAAGAAAATGTAACGATATTTAAAAAATAAAGCCTAGTTACGAAAGGAACCAGTGAAAATAGGTTGAAAACCGAAAGTGACTAAGCCATATTAATTGGTGAATTCGAACCATGAAGTTAGAGCAGTTAGTGCAATTTATACGTACCTATTAAGAGCAAAACACCATCTCAAGTTCTCTTCAATCTCTTCTTCATACCAACAGCTCTTCCTATAACCATTCAGTGATGAATGGGTTTTTCCATTCACACCATTTCCATTGCCAATGCCATTAGAGCAAGAAATTTCACCCATTTTTTCCTTCTATATCGCTAAGCAAGCCCGAGAGAGAGGGAGGGAGAGAGGAAATTAAGAGGCAAGTGAAGGATGGAGAGAAATGCTGGCTTAGCCACGCTATATAAATAGGAAGGTGGCAGGAAAATCGAAAAGGGTTATGATTTGGTTCTGGTATGAAGAGCTAGGAAAATCTATCGAAGTGGGTGCGTGCACTTAGTACTGAAAAGGAGAACTATAGACAAGATATTCTCATGGATTTTCGTAAATAGTTGCATACAAAAGTAAAGAAAAAGTGGAAAGTGTGTGATTTTTGCTGGCGTGGTTATGTTTATCTAGCAATGTGGCCTTCGATGTTTTTACCTTCCCGCTTAGTACCAATAAATTCACTTATCACATTCTTGCACATACGTGATGATATTTTCATGTGTATGTTCATTCATTCATTTATAGATTACTATGGATAGATTACGTGAATGAATAATTAAGTAGAGCTACGTTCTAATCCTCATCTGGCACCTAGTGTGAGGCTTCAAATTAAAGATGTATAAACTGATAGGATTTGGACGCATTGAATCATGTGGAGTACCTCTGATCGAGGGGGTGCTCTTTGGTTTTTCCATGTGAAATTTAAATGCGTTGTCGTTTATATATACCGTCGACGATCCCAGTGTAGAACCATACCCCATCAGTATTACAATTCACTAATTCAGAATAGCTACCACTTTCCAATTTATTTATTATGGAAAATTGAACATCTGTTTCGTTAAAACCAAAAACTTTTTTTTTAAGGAAACCATTTCACACAAAAAAAGGCATTTCGAGATAAAATGCCTTTAAAATTTTACAAAAGCATGCTTGGAAATGTCTTATGTGGCATGCATGTATTATGTATATTGTATTGGACATAGGATGGCGGACTGCCTGGATAGTGAAATGTAACTGCAACTGTATGCATGCATGGTAGATTTTAAAAGAAAATGAAGGGAAACAGAGTCCAGGAAAAGGATAAAAGATGATGATTAGTGAGAGGTGACAATTACCGAAAATTCTGGCCATATTCTTTTCTTCAGAAATGTGTGCAAATCTTGGTTGGACTTTGGAGAGAGAGACGGGGGCGTGCAGTTGGAACCATCATCACATTCTCTTGCTTCAAAAGATGAATGAGGGGCGTGCCATGCCAGGCCGCACTCATAATCACCACCATCACAATCGAAGAACATCAATCCACAACTGATCCAGCAACATAAATTTTTTCCAACCCCACCATAATAATAACAGACAATAACCCCTCTTACACTATTGAGTTCACCATTTTCCTTTATATACATACATATCATGCCTGTTTTGCCAGGTGTCAACCCTTCATCTCATCCTTTAACCCCATTACGCGGGGTCCAGCACAGGTAATATTCACATCAGCATGATGTGTCCTCAAGGAATAGAGGGTAGACAAGAGGGTCACGAGAAGAAGATTGGTGTTCTTTGTTTATATATGCCGGGCGACTGTTATATGAATTCAAAGAACCATGGAATTTGGAGGGGTGATGATGGATTCACCCACCTCTTGTTTTGGAAAGCTATGATAGTCTCAGTGTGTCTTAGGTCCCGAAGACCAAGAAGCTTTTGCTTCTATATCGCCATTCCTCAAATCTTTTGCTTGGTTTGCCCACCCCACGAGCTGTGAGAATTATTATGCCTGGCAAGCTTGAAGTCACTCGATCAAGTAAAAAATCTTACTTTTTTCAAAACAAAAATGAAAAAAAATCTCAAGAATCGTATTTTTTGCAAAACAATACAATATTTTCTGGGTTATCCTCTATGTTGAGTGCTATAGCATGTGATAAACCTAATGTTTTAAGAAGACAATACACTTTATAATTAAATAGAGAATTTCACGAAATTCTCCATGTGCTATGTGCCATTATCAAAGGCCGTTAATGTTATTTAATGACCAATGTAGTAATATACTAAACTGGTCAAGTCTTATTAACAAAGTTTGAAACCATTTAATAATTATAGTCTTAAATAAATGTAGCAGATAAAATATTAAATACCACATGTATCCTTTTATGACATCTTTCTTGAGATAAAATCTTGACGTGTTTCTTTGGCTAATCAAATCAAGCTATATCTAATGTTAAAATTTTAAATCTAACCTTTCAAGCCTGTATAAATATAGGAATTCCCTTTTAAAAAATATTTTCCTCGAATATTAAATCTTCGAAAAAGAAAAGCTTTCAAATTTATAATTCTTTTCCATCAAATCAAACACAGCATCCTATAGAGTCTCAAGCTACGAGGATACATCAAAAACATTTTTAAAGCGTCCATCAAACCATCTATCAAGCCAAAGCAAATCATGCAAAAACATTTTTGAAGTGCCCATCAATCCAACCATCAAGTCAGGCAAATAGTGCCAAACTCTTACTGCATTTTTGCGAAGCATTTTAGAATTTGTTTGTCACTGCTGTTATTCTGCAGCGTGTTTGTAAAAAAAAATAATTTTTTATTTAATTTTTAAATATTTTATACATTGAGAATAAAAATATATTTTTAAAAAATATTATTTTAATGTATTTTCAAATAAAAAATATTTTTAAAAACAATTATTACTATAATAATAAACACTACCTAAATTTTTAAATCATTGAAATTTGAGTCTTCAAATAACCTCCCGAAAGAAAGAATCAAGTAATCATTAATTCTTTTTCACTGATGGGATTTTTTTTCTTATAACCATAATCTCAATAGAATCGCAAACTACTTACCAAGCCGAGTAAAGCATGTCAAAAGTTTTAATGCATTCTTGCGAAGTGTTTCCTTTGACTCGCTAGGATTTAGTCTCCAAGTAGCTCACAAAATTCTTTCTAAACAAGGCATGTATTAGAGATTGTACTTGCATCTCAAATCGAAAATAGTTTTGTCTTTCAGGCACGAAATTGGGTATCTTTTGCCGTAATACGTGCGTTTTTGTTTGTCTTAAACTTTCTAAGTGGAACAGCGACTATGTGACGGGACAACAAGTCAACAGGTTGAAGCCTCTGGTTGCTTTAATTTAGAAAATTCACATTTATTACTGTGCATGACTAAAAACAATTGCACTATGTCTATGCAATCTGGAGAATGGGACGGCTGTCGCAGACACCTAGGAGCAAACTAGAGGCGGGCGAGACCACTAAACTCGTTTAAGAGCTAGGACAGCTTCGATCCGAGCTTAACTCAGGCCCGATCTATTTTTCTAGGCCTGGATCTTGCCTATCTCAATCAATTGTGCTGGATCCTGAGCTTGAGCCTGGCGGGCGACGGGTCTTGGGCTTTCTGCTCCGAAACCTGTCGCCTATCTATGCAATTTGGGAATGTAGAACTTCAGGAATGAAAGAGTTATATCCACGTTATACATTACATTTATTTTCGAAAGAACATAATCCCATTAATATGGTCAGAGATTGAAGGAAGAAGGAAATGCATTGTCGATGTTTTTTCATGGTTCTTAAAACAAAAATCCATTGAATTCGTAAGTTGCTATGCTCTGGAGCAAATAGACCGATTATCAGGTTGGGGTGGTTTGACTTTGAGCACCGGGTTGCTCTCGAAAAAATTAGCTGGCCGGAGCTCAAATCCACCGCTAAGAGTTGTCATTACTGGAAAATCTTCTTGGTATGGCACGTGGTGAAATCCCAATGTGTACCACAGCACAATGTCTTTATTTTCTATTTCCCTACTCCTGCATTAACAAGAAAAGTCGACACTACAATGTTTAGCGTGACAATAAAGTCAACAAATCAAAATTGGTGGTATCTGGCGTACCTGAGGCTCCATCTTGCTAGGGTATCATCTCCTCGGCTTTGATCAACATAAAGCCCTCCCGCCCATTTTTCAGACTTGTTATATGGGGTAATCCATAGATTGTATTTGGTGAAGGCTCCCCGAATTTGTGCATAATCATCATCTGATAAGAGGGGGGCCGCAAAAGACCCTGGGATCAAACGGTAGCCAATGAAGTTTCCGATATTGGTCCTCTTGTTTGGATTAACCACTAATAGATCTTCTTGTGCTACACCGAGCTTAATCCTTGCATCAGACTCCGTTTTAGCTGTCTCGCTCACAACCCTCCAGTAGCTCCTCCTAGGCGACCGGTGATCGGTCACTGGGGTCTTTAGCAACTGGGACCTGACAAATGAGTTTGCATCGCCATCCACATCAAGATCAAGATGGTAAGTAAAGAAGTGGTCATGGTTTGCACCCAGGGTATTTTCTGCTAACAATGTACCATAAACTTCCTCTTTTATTTGATCTTTATGGGTGTACATTGATCCCCTCACTTCAAGCAAACCAGTCAACCCAACCTGCATGAAAAATATGAACCAGAAGGTCATCCAAGAACATCATTATCATGCTAGAGGTAATCAAATTATGTTGGCTATAGAAATCTGCTAATTCTAATCCATCAAGAGAAAATATCATCTTCAAGAGCAACATAGCCAACAGAATCAAATACCGCGTTTTCATTTACGCAGTAACGATCACCACGAAATCCCAAGAATATGAAAATTTTATCCTGTGTAGCCTATGTTAGAACCAAACCTAGCTTTAACGCAATCGAACCGTGATCACAACAAATCAATTTTGATGCTAGATTAGACATCATAAAAATAAGCTCCCCCCATTTAATGAGTTTATTACCGTGACTTTGATTGAGCCGCTTTGCTTAAACTCCCAATCGTTAACGTAATCGTAGTTGCCAACAGTAGACACCATTCTTACAACCAGGGTCACCTCTGGCCTAACTTCTCTTATCTGCACCACCAGTGCACCACCATTTAGTTTCAGACAAAATTATTGCAAAATTAAGCCCACTGAACAAACCCCAAAAACAAATAAAAAAAATCACTAACCACTTTGCCTGGTATAGCAGCCTCCGTATGCCGCCACATTACGTCTCCAGCATACCTCTCAAATATGCAAAAGATATTAGGCATATTTACAGGCGTCCCATTGTGGTCTGCAACATAAGCGTCCATGAAAACTGCATTTTCCGGACAGTCCCTAAGTGGCTCGAGTGGCACTGCACATAGGCCATACCCATATTCACCAGCATCAAAAAATACTCGATAGTACCACTCTTCATTTAGGTCCATATACGGCACGAAGACCTCTGACAGGAACCCTTGATACAGAACTTCACGAAAC